TATCATGCCCACGCTGCCAACGTACAATTTGCGTGCTAATCGGCCTCGTCGGACACTCTCGGATGCAATGTAACGACGATCTGAGAGCACCAACTTTTCCTTCGACGAACGCTCCTACTGTCACCCCTGTCTCAAACCCCGCGATGACGGCCAGACTCGTCACCGGTGACCACACTGCCGACGTCCCGCCGTCATCGATCTCCGGCATCATCCGCCTCGCCCAACCCCTGCGCCGATCACAGCGGCCAGCTCAACCAACACCACCCTTTCTCCCGTTTCCTCAACCAATGAGGCGACACCCGACGTACGGCCAACTGCTACCTTCACCACCACCGCCCCCACCATCAGCAGTGCGGACTCAATCTCAGCCTGTAAACATTGCGATCGCACATTCCTTTCACGCATCGGTGTGGTCGGTCATTCGGGAATCCATCGCAATGTGACCGGCACGTCAGCGCCCGGAGTCCCTGTGGCCGTTCGCGTCTCCTCGCCCTCCGCCTTTGTCACGCTGCCGTCCTGTCCGCCTCACACTCCGTGTCGATACGCTGCTGGGACGCGCGAGTGCTCGAAGTCAATTAACGCTGTCCCCACTCTGATTGGCTGGCGAGATTGAGACAACGAAGGGCGCACACACGCGCGGACACAACACCTCGAAGGCGGACACAGACAACAGCTTGCTTGGAGCGCGCTCGCGGCGACTGCCTGCAGAGCCCTTGTGTACGCACTTCCTCAGGCAGTAAAGGTTGTCCAACTCAAACCGTCTTCCCTGACTTTTGATTGGGAATCTTTATCTTGTCGACCGCACAATTCCGACATCCCGACATACATCCGCCGCACTCGTCTTCACTGCACATGCACATTCACTCTCCGCATGAGCCTATTTGGTTATGTGATTCCTCATGAAAACCTGCAGCAGATCACCGCGGACAGGACCATAGCAACACACATTCCCCGATCTATACGTATTACGCATGCACCCCTCCAAAATTCCACATCGCCAGCACTTCTCGCGTAAACAAGAAGTGCGCTTTTAGGCTCCTTTTTCCGTGTGGTTCTTCTGCTGCATGTGATATCCGAGTGTTCTATACACCCTGTGCGTGTAATCATGCTGTGTGAGTTTGGGTGGTCAGATCATGCACGTGGCGCGCAGACGAGCTCTCTAGTTGTGTTAGCCACTGCGTCCATTCCTTGCACCAGACAACTGCTCGGCTCGGACAGTGACTGGAGTCTAAGAATGGAAGGGGAGAGCGAGGTCGACGAATCAGCCTGTTTTTCTGACTATAAACGGTCTGACGCCCTTGAAGCTATCACGGTGAGCCAAGGGCAGTGGCTTGGAAGGCTTTGAGCTGAGGGGATAACTTGGAACTCGCGGTTAGCCTGGTGTGCATTTGTGTGGAGTGGCAGGCTGGTGGTCTGGGAGTCGGGCTGTAATGGTTTCTTTTTACTGTAGCTTCTATGACACTCCCAATCCGCGAGATCCGAGGCGGACGTGGCGGTACGCATAGGGGTGGGTCTGGCCGCGCCAGCCACCTGTGTCATCTCCCACCTTCGGTCTCCCCCACTCTATCTTGACACGGGGCTCAGGTGGGAGAGGAGAAGAGAAAGTTGTAGATGTAATGGGAGCCCATCATCATTGCAAAAGAAATCCCACACAAGTCCCAATGTCCGCTCTAACCTTGCTGTGGTGCACACGGTGGACATGTCCAGCAAAGACGGTCGAACTGTCGTGTGCATTGAATGGTTGCCCTGACATACGGGCGTTTTAGATGCGTCGGACCAACACGGTGGCTACATCGAATTCTGGTAGGGGTTATGGGAAATGCACACCCGTAACAAATGCCAACATTCGAGGTGCGGCGGCACGACAGTTGAAGGCTCACGCAAAACCAGTTGCAGGATTCCAGTTGCCCCCACTTTTGCTGTTGCTGAGACCCCTGGTCAAGTGTTCGTTGTGGACCAGGGGGTGTGCTGATACGTCTAGGCGCGGGTTTTTCCGTGCTAACTGCCTGCGCGCCCCCCGCCTCCGGTCTTCTTGACTCTGTTTTGACATTAGTTTCAGGTGTGGGTGGAGAGGGTGCGGCAGATGGAGCACAAGTCTACATTCCCTTTAAACTATCTCACGCGCAAGTTGTCGTCCCTACTTTCGTCCGGCTGTGGAGCACATGATGGACATAGTCGTTCGCAGTGGCTGGACTGTCATAAGGTGATATGAATATACTTCGTCATGAATCCTGAAGAGGAGTGTTTATTGGACATTACTTACATTTGTGCATGCCCAATATTTTTCTGTTTATTTTTGACACTGTTTTACGGACTGTATAAAGGTGCACAAACTCAGTTCGGAAACTCGGACAGGCAAGGAGTAAGTATATGCGCGGGGTAAGAAAGCGGTAACCGGTGGGCATTGTCTTACGGTAATCGCGGTAATTGGGGTTATACGGGTGGGAGGCGGGGGGAGGGAGGAGGTGAAAGTGAGAAAAAGTCGAAACTATCACGAGGCTTTGTCTACGGCACAATTTTCAAGGGGAATTAGTCGTGGAATTCAAGAAAAAATAAAAAATACTAATCGGGAAATTCGAGGAAACTGAATAAACCGCCGTTGGTTAAGTTACGTGGAGTCGGAGTCCAATGTAGCTCGTGGCCAATAGGGATAAGGGCTGTGAGTGACAGGTGGGGCCAATTCCCGCAGGTTGCGAAAAGTGACGACGAGATCATCAGCGTACGGGACATAAGTAAACCAAGGCATGGAGCGAGAAGGAAGACAACCAGTTTGAGATCGGTACGAAAAATACAAGTACTGTTGCTTAACAAATTCACCAGCGTCCTAAGACTCCTGCTTTACCGGAAGACGTACGCATTCCGTCCACCACTATTTCGAGTATTTTTTTACCACCTGACTACTCCCATGTCGACTATTTTAAATTGTGTTTTCAAAGCTGTATGCCAGTTACCAGTAATATAATGATTCCATTTTGTTTTATATGAGGCAAATTGAGGTATGTGTAAATAAAGGATTTGGAATGATGGTTAAAAATTCAGGAATAGATCTGTCTATGTGCACGTGTCAAATATTTCTATGAAAGAAAGAAGAAAATAGCGGAGTGTCCTATTGTTAATATAATCTATTGTAGCTTGTAGGCAAGCGGCACAGGCTAACCCAAAGGCCAGTCAATCGCGTCGTGTTTTACCAACCGCAGCAGATGAACTTACACAAGAAATTAACTCCGATAAAGTGGTGCTGTGTTTCCAAAGTAGAGGACTACTGCCCATTATCCTAACGAGCAAGTGCGGATGGAGTATAAGGCAACGAACGCGTAATCGGCATACGAACGGTTTGCGCTCCAGAGTTCCGGAGAATCACATCGAACGGCAGTGGAGTAGTACTCCATATGAAACTAGGCAACCCGGGTTTTGAGGTACAGATGGATGAAACGATGGTAAGCTGCTGCAAGTACAACGTTGACCGGATAAGAAGGCAATTCTGACTGCTTGAAATGTATGATACTATGAAAACTACGTGAAGGAGGCCTCATGACCGGTTGAGCGGTGTGAACGAAGGGCAGTAACATCTGTGTTTTGGACTGCACAACTCAGGCCTGAGGACTGCCTGGGAAACCTTTCTGTCCCAGATTATGGAAGTTTATCCCATGCGGTGACATTTCCCCAAATGAATTACCCACCGTTTAAGTAATTTTGTTACATAGAGTAATTCTGACTACTCAGACCTGTGCTATGTTGAGGGCGGGGGAACGACACCGCAAATTGTGGAGACGGAGGAAGTCATATCGTTATGTTTTCCGTTGGGTACCCGGACATGACGTCGATAAGTGCGCCTCTTACAGTCCCCCAACTGTGGAAAAGAAATACGTATGGGCAGGGCGTGGCAATAAGTCCATGTAAACATTGCTACTGCACCAAGTCCTCAGCTCAGGTAAGCCGGGGAATGTCATCCTGCCATGGCTAAAACCGTCAAACTGCCTGACTGAATTCCGTCTGAAAACACGTTAATTTGACCTTGATTAAGGAAGTACGTGCGGGCGGTGCAAAATAATGAGCCTATATGGACATTTCTGCAGCATCGAGTACTGGGGACGATAGAGGTCAGCGAATATCATCCTGCATGGGTTCTAGCCGCAGGAGGGCGTGACTGGAACCCGACTGAAAACACTTCGATTTGCCTCTTGCTAAAGAATTTCGTGTGGGGGTTCAAAACAACGCGCCAATGTAGACATTTCATCAGCACTGGCTCGTCGGGATGGTACAGGCCAGGGAATGTCATCCTGGCGACGAAGGACCGACTAGAAACTCAACCGAACATCTACTTTGAAAAATATGGTGGGTAGTCTTTGATAGTTTTTACTTGTCCCGCGCATATCCTCAATCCCTACCTTCAGACCTTTGTTTTTTAGTGTGGTTTGCCGAACTAAGTGAGGAGATGAGTTTTCTACACTTCGCGATAGATAAAATATTCATCGCTACCCAGAGCTTGGAGACCATCAACTTGGATAATGCCATCCTATTTTCATAGGAAGTCCTTACCAGAGCAGCATGACGCAACGGACATAATTGACTTATTGTGTCCCGCTAGCCAACGGGACAAAGAATTCACGAGTGCTGTACAAACAGGTTCTCTCATCGCACGACCCTCAACTGCAGCTGGTTCTTTTACCTTTCATCCAGGTCCTTACATCGTCAAAATTGTCCCCTTTTCCCCGTCTGACCGCAACGTTCTCCTACAGCTATTAACCTCAGTTTCACCATACTGAATATGGCAAATTTGCGCGGCAGACTTTTCGCAGCAATTTATAGAGAATCACCTAGTCTACGATGGATCTAGACAAATGGAGTGACATCCTTTCAGGGTTGTTTATTAATCAGAAGTTGGTTTTATCACAAAAAATTTAACTTTTCATAATCAACCGGTAGTTACTTGCCAATTCGCCAACATCCAGTTGGCTTTCGGCGCTTGACGTCTTTTAAATGCAACTTTCGCATTTTGGTCAGGTCAGTCCACGCTGGGCGATACTAGGATCATCTACGATAATGTCAGAAATGCGTTTAAGTAAAGTAATTAGCGCGGGTTGTAGTGCGAGTCCTTCGAGGCGTTGAGCAATATTTCGAAAGTCAATTCTTTCAAGGGTGTCTGCCTGATAGTTCCAGCGTTCCTGACCAATCTCCTCTACGTTGATGGCATAAAGCCTGTCACAAAGGGCCAAGAACTTCGTGTAGTCCGTCTCCTTAATAACATAGCCTTCATCCAGGTCCAACAGGCCAATATATTCATCAAGAATGCGCGTATTAACGAAACCAAAAAGAAGATCGCTTGCACTCTTTCGCATCATTGCTACAACATTCTGTCTAGCTTTTACCCCATACTCGGAGAACATTTTCTGGTAGACGTAGTTTCTTTCCTTGCACACCTTACAGTACTGGACCAGATAATCCCTAACTGAATAACCTTCCAAGTGAGATAGGACAAGGGGCAGCCGAAAGTTTATGGAGGAGTAAATTGCACAATTGGCCTTCAGGATGTTTTCTGGCAGGGTTCTTTTGTGAGCGTCGATGTATTCGAAAGCCAGAGTGCCCACCATGTCGTAGATATCGAGAGACCATGGTGGTTTTGACCAGGTTCGATCTTGGGGAGGCAAGACGGATAGATCCTCAATGGTTGGCCCCCTTAGGCGTTCGCTCATTGCCAAATAATTCTGTTCATGCTTCTTTCTATCTCCCGCTAGAACGGTCTGCAATTTCCGACCCCAGTCCAGAGTGCTCTCAGGTCCTTGTGGAGTCGGGGATTCTTTTTGAGAAGCCTCATAGTCCAGCTGCGAACTGGAGATTTCAGAGTTGATGAGACTGCCGACAGAACTGTCCTGCCGTGAATTAAGCAGACTATCGTCCTCTGAGAAGTCTTCACGCAAGTATTTCGTCCTAAAGCCAGGTCCATCCATGTAGGCACGAGCAGTCTTCAACTTGGGACTTTCACTCTTCTGTTGGTCAAGCTCCTGAAATATAGCCTTGCTTTCCGATAGCCGCATGCCCAAGAGCCTTGATGCACGCCTCACAACCTCACCTTTATGGGCTTTTTTATTCGTTTCCTTGCTCTAAGGTGCTTCTGGCATGTAAAAGGCCTTAGGTTCGTCAATCATAGACTCTTGCAGGTCCTGCAGTTGGTTGAGCAATTCCTCCTCACGCATCAGTTGTACATCCAGCCCTCGAAGATTAGATCTTCGACGAATCGACATTATCTCGCGGCTGAGCACAGAGAGACAAATCACACGACTGATGCTGCCAACCTCCTGTGTTTGAATTGCTCCCGCGCACTGTTTGGTCAATATGTCCGATCGAAATTGCCCTGGTGCGAGAGAGACCTCACTGGGAACTGTGGTTTTGGACAAAATCGCTGTCACTTCTTTGTTCGAGGTCGGCGTAAGGTAAAGGTTACAACAAGGAAAAGCACGTGATATCCTCGCCTCATTCCGAGTAACAAAGATATGAACTTGACAAAAAATCGATAACGCAGGCTCAGCCAACATGCAAGTTTTCAAGATTTGCTTGGAGTCAGAGCCACGGGCCGGAGTTCGACGTCAAAAGCTCCCAGCCCTGATTCAAGACGAAGAAACAGAGCATTACAAAAAGCAAAAACTGAGATAAATGGAAGTGAAAGTGTTGGCTATAAGCCAAGAACGCAAAGTGCTAAGCCATAACAACTGGACTGAGAAGGAGAGTGAACAAAATGCTTGTACCATCATGACGATTCCGTAATTATAGTTGTCCACGTTAGCAGTGATGCGACTAGCTGTTGGATGGGACAATGAACTAACTGAACGGAGGATACGGCTGGACATTTTATTGTACTGCAGCATACATGCGCTGTCAAGGATGAATACATACTACACTCATGTCCTGTGTCCTTGAAGAAATATTCGACTGGAAGACTTCCTATCAAGTTGATCCGGAACAACTGCATAAAAGGATTTTGTCAGCATGCACACTTATACACGTGGTCGCATACCTTATGCCAATTCCGTGCATGCTTAATTGAGGTAGGAGTTTGTGCACTTCCGACTTTGCCGTCCAAGAAATGCGTCCGTGCTCCGTCGCTATTCTCCTTCTGTAGTTGGTTTAAGTAACAAGACTGGTTAGTCGGCGACCCACTAAAACCTTAGAGAGTTCTGAAGATGGTTGTTTGCATAACTACTGAGCACATTTAAATACTGGCATTCCCATCGTCTATTTCGCTCCTCATAGTTAAGCCAGGGTTTCCTCCCGATTGTTACCATTTGAGATCGCGCTGATTTGTTTGACTGAAAGAAGGGAAAGGCACGTGTTTGTCCATTTTACTTGAACTGCTTTTGTTGACAGCAGAGAAACTATTTGATTCAGGTGGTAAACGGAAGGGCAGTCGCAGGGACCATAAGTTATTTTTCCTGGCAAATAGTGACCTACGATCAGGGTGTTTTGATCTTTCATCTCCGAGTCTGAGAATGCTGCTGGGCATATTGTCATAGAAATGATTCGTGATTATCCGTCAGAGGCGTGTAATCTGAGAGGGCATTGAGAAGTCCCCCACATCTGGGATTCCGATTGCGGTCATCACTTGGTCCGCAAAGCGAGGAAGAGACGCCGGCGGCCGTAGATTTGCTTCAGTGACATCATCAATTTCTTCCAAGTTGTCAGCAGTCATCGCTGCGACCGAGTCAGTGAAAACTCCACCCTTTGCATGTCCAAACCGTTTCCCCCGACGTTTCTTCGGCAGGTGTGTGCTAAGTTGCCAGTTAAGACATAAAGCGGGTCTTGGGGTGGCTGGTGAATACTCTGATTGTACGCCAGACCTCGAGTGATCCCCTGACCGTCTAAACATTGCTTTGATCAGGAAGTTCGTCTTCATTGAAGAGGAAAGTCTACTGACGTGCTAAACCAAGGACTGACCCCCTGAATCTAGACGAATGACGCTGAGTCATAAAAGCAGGACCACGTCAAATAGCACTGGTACACAGTCAAAGAACCCCCGATTCTGGAAGCTTATTTGCTTCAGAAACGACAAAAAATACAACTAAGGTTACGGAGGTGGCTCTATCTTATTCCTGTGCACCTTTATGTTTTCTCTGGTTAAAAGGACGCAAGTGTGCATTCCATACTGCAAACAGTCCCGCTTTAGGGAGAGGCATCTGGAAGTCTGCGTATGCCATTGAAATATGTTGTACATTGTTTCACATCGATATTCTCGTTTGGCATAAAATAACACTGAGAATAAAAAGGTTCGTTCGATACTGTTTCAGGAAGGATTCCCACTTCCGTGAACTCCCAGCCTCTTGCGAAGAAGGAGACACGATCGCTGGTACAAGAGCTTTATTAGCCCGAAGTTTCGGCTTCTCCCTCGAATCCATCATCAGGGACAGAGTCAGATAAGGGTGGCAAATTGCCCAAGTGTTGCAGTATTTATAGGATGTAGTTGCTGGGCCGCTACATGCCTCTTTACAAAAAATCCCTCGTTGTACAGGACTTTGACTTACATATGCGCAATTAAAAACGGGAGTTACGTATAGATGAATGAGGGTAAACCAGCCTATTAAGGGCTAATTGTAGTATTTTTCCAAAGCTACTTGCCTAACCTACAGATTCCCAACTTTACTTATCGTAGCATGCGTTGCCACACTTCGCTCACATCAGTCGAGCCATTCAAAAATAAGGATATTATTTACACGAAGGAAGCCGAACAAGACAGGACTAGAGGGTAGCCCATAGTTCGGGTCTTTGTAAAAGCTAAGAAAGGAGAGCTGATATCAGGAAATCTTGTTTTAATCCGTTTACGCCAACTGTTTGATTCCTATCCAAAGACGCGACCTTACAAAGCAGTTTGTAAGGGTAAATTCAAATAGTCTTTATGTCTTTTAAAAGTGGAGTGTTGATTAAACCACAGTGGTTCATAACTACCTTGATGAAGGGCAGAGGTTTTTCGAAAATTTTGTATCCGAAACATTTTAACCCAGAGAAATTAAAAACCAACCATAAGCAGTAATTCTTGGACAGATTGCTGAAAGATGTTGCCATTTTTCGAACGAGTTTCTTCTTATTATTCTTCAATGAATTTCGACCCCAAATACCTCATCGGGCTTCATTCGTGTGAACATCCATACCACTTTTCTGTTGACGGCCCACAGGCCCATCAAAAGGAAAAGGTACACATACATACAAGCCTGAGATCTACGCAGATACATTAATACCGAAAGGTTGTCGTTTATTTGTATCCACAACGTTTTACCAATAAGAGGAATTCTGCAAAATCTACAGGAGTTCCATGTTACGAGTCACTTGAGGCCATAACTGTATTCAGGTGCAAAGAGCGACGATAATATTATAATCCAGACTAGAGAACGATCTATGCGAAATCCTCCATGGTTGAATTAAAAAGTTAAATGCTATAAAGCAAAAACTGCTTCACTATGGTTAATAATAACGGATGAAGCTACAGTATTGACGCTCTCCTATGGGAAATAATCTGGCAGTATTTGAAATGAACAAAACGCGCCGCACTTATTTCTCATTTTCAGCTATTTAATAATCCAAATATGCCCTTATGCTGCAGTTCAGGTACAGTCGCAAACCTAAACCAATTAAGGCTATGAAATCGTTTTCAACGGCAAGAAACAGCGAAACGTTAACCTATATCGCAGCACTATTGGAATACACTCGCACTTTTTCCAAACCATCCAGTACAAAACCTTCAATGCAACCCCCTACATAAAAGTTCATCAAACTTAAACCTAAAATGTCCTTAAAGGGAGATCAGTATGCCCTTGCTCACTGCTGTGGATCCGAGGTAGTGCACCCGGGTAGGGGGCATTGTAAATGAATACTCCACAGAAATCACGCTTGATTAAACGCATACATGGTAAACAATCAAAGAACATCCAGCGGCAAATGCTTTTTGCCTTGTCTGATGCAAGAATGGCGGCGATTGTCTGAATGCGCATGCGTGTTCAGAGTGTAGTCGGCCAGACTGCTGGGTCAATTCATTTCAGAAATCTCACCGGGAAGGCGAATAACCTTGACGCGGTAGGACGTTGAATATGGACGTAGGCGGAGCAAGTTAGGCAGTTGACTGTAACTTCCCCGTAATTGCGGCACTGCCGATAAGTTTTCTTATTTATTCGCACAGCCATGCGCTCGTGTGTATGCATACTATTTTGATATAATGCCTATTATGAGTGGAGATATTACCCCCACATTGAGGTCAGCAAGTATTTTAAAGTGGAGGCCAGTTTTCGAGTACGCTTAACATAAATGCCAGATGTGCGTGTTTCAAAGATCCTAGGCGCACCGTAAAGAACTTCATATGACTTGGAAAAGAAATGGTTTTGTCGACATGACTGTGCGAAACATTTACAGCCTGATCCTGAATACATCCGAACCCCGCCAAATTCTGCGGAGGTGACTCTTGGGGACGGGACATTGTGTATACCGGCCCTACGTGTCTTGACCCTAGTTGAAGTGTTCTAATGGGAGACTGGATGTTATTGCAATGACAGTGGATGTTGAGGAGGTTGAAAGGATCATTTTCACTTTCAGATATAAAATATCATTATAAATAGCCAGATATATATGCAGCTGACGGAGATCATAGGACTGAGGTATGGACAATGCAGAATTGAGCAGGAACTTGAATAGAAGCTGCGATATACGGCATGGTTGGTGGTACCTATCCTTCCAGAACAGGAAGCTGGTATTGTTAGACACAGTGCAAGAAGACCCCAAGTTAAAGTGGTTACCAGAATGATTATATAGGAATCACTTGATTTCAGCATTTTGCTACATTTTCTTGGCCCAAGCCCTTATCTAATCAAAAAAATCCTTTATTTATTCTTTCATTTTATCTATTATTTCTCTCGGGAAAATTATGTATGAAAAACAGACTGCGCTGCTATCTTTGGGTATATAATAATGGTTCTACCGCTAACATCATTAGTCGTTTTTTGCAAATGCCTGTACACGAATGTTTTTTTACCCAGGACAGTAAAAATCATCCGAAGACTCA